TTAATAGCACGTTTCAATTTCTAAAATATAAGTAGCACATATGAGATGAAGAAGGATAGTCAATTGCGACAGAATCCTCGGTTACAAAATCCTATACTTCTTACTACAACATTCTCCTTGTGCCGCTTCTCTGTTTTATTAGCGTTTTTACGTCATTGCGGTCAACCGGCCGGGCCGAACGCCGCGACGGCTTCGCTATGCTTATCAATCGTACGTCGACGCGCGCATATATATCGTGCGACACGTGCGTCGCGCGTAAACCTCGAACGACACTTGAAAAGATTTACGCTGTGGTTGCGCGCGAATTATTATACGAAGGTTCAATCTGAAAAAGCGCGCGAGACGAATGTCACTCGATGTTGTCCCGACCGTCTCCGGGCAATAATGCCGTAATTTACGACACAAACGGCCGTACATCCGTTAAATATTTCGCGCTCGCCTGCTTTTAGCGGTTTGACGCGCACATTGTCGGGCACGTACTTATGCAATAAACGTCAAATATCTTTCGTGCCGCTGCACTCACGAATGCAGCAGCAGCAACAGCGCGCCGCCGCCGTGCTCGACAGCGTCTTCTTCGAGGGTAACCTCGCGTCGTCGTCGTCGTCGTCGTCGTCATCATTGTCGTCGTCTTCGTCGTCGTCGTTGTCGTCGACGACGACGACGACATCGTTGTGCAAGTCACTGCAGTAACGGAGCGTTCCGAGTCTTATCTAATCTCCGGCAACGACGTTCCCGGTGTCTGCTTCATCGCCTCGGTAGTGAGAAAATATTGACGAACATTCCTTCGCTCTTAGCCCACGTTGTTAGGGCGCTTTTAGGCCGCACGTCCGCTCCGTGTATCGCCCTCGAGAATTCCTTCGTACATATCACTCGCGCACGTACAAGCGCGCGTCGGAGTGCTAATTACGCGCAACTCGTTCGCTGATTTCATTCCAATCGACCGATAATCGCGGCTGTTTATCTCGTTTGTCCACCGATACGTTTGCCTCGATCCTTAACCCCGATTTCTTCAATCTCTTCGAGAAAAGAAGAATGAAATTTTTTTCCGCGCATGGAAGGTCGCACTGGTTAATTATAAAGGCTTTCGATAATCTCAATCGCGCAAATGCTAAGAAAAGAGAGAGAGAGAGAGAGAGAGAGAGAAAGAGTTGCACTTCGCTCTGCGATTTCCGGACGACTTCAACTGACGTTCACGTGATGCGCGGCGGCAAACGCTTAACAGGTAACCATTCTTTGCAGATGACAACCGACATGGTGACGTCGTAAAATCGACGCGGCATCTCGTCCTTTCTCCCTTCATGGACCATAAGCGATATCGCGTGGGGAACGAAATGTGCGCGCTCTCCACCGTGGGATCCCGTGAGAGAAACGCGCTCTTTAACGCGACTCGCTTACCGAAAACGTTGTCGGGCGTCATCATGACGAATTTGAATCGCGCGTGAACGGTCCGCGTGTCGCTCGAGAGACGAGAGAGAGACGGTCCGGGACAAACTGGCGACTCGAGTATCGATCTCGGTGCCTCACGTTGGTACGTTCGAGTGATCGTAATAAAAAGGTAGAAAGAAAGAGAAGAAAAAGAAACGCGCGTACGCGCGACGGTAACGAGAAAATCGCGGAGATCAGCAACGGTAGTAGCGGAAACGTACGCGAGCATCGTAGAAAAAAGCACGTGAAGGATGCGGCCCACGGACGGAGGGTGGGGTCTTCGCGCACCGATAAGGCTTATCCGGAGATACGATGGCCGACAACTGCGCTCGTCGTCGAGTCGTCGTCAGTCGTAGTGTTCAGGTGCTGTTGACGAGATCGTCGCGTCGCAGTGATATCGCGATTCGCGCGTCACTTGTAGCAGCAGCGCCGAGGAAGAGGTGTCTCGAGAGTCTCGCTTTTCCGGATCAGGCGGCCGGAGTGTGATATCGCGGCAGCCCCCGAGAGGCTTCTCCAGAAGGTACGGCAAGTACACAGCCTCGGTGAGCGCGCGAAGGCGACCGGGGTAAACGCGTTGTCGTAAAGTGGAGCGAAAACGATAACGGGCAACCGCCGCCGCCGCCGCCGCGAGAGCGACTAATCGGCCTTTCCAGCGTGTCTCGAGTTTTTAATTTGACGCTTTAGCGCGTCAAGTGGCCGGCGACAAAGAGTGTCGACGTGCATCGAGGGTGTTGGCAAAAGGCGCCGGCGGCGGGGGAGGGTGAGTGCAAAAGGTGAGAGGAGGAGAGAAAGTCGAGGGGCGGAGAGAGGCGAAATGTGTACGAGACAAAAGGCTTAGGTAGCATATCAAGATACACTTTCTCTACCCTCTCCTACTCCTCTCTCGCACCTTTCGCTCTTTCTCACCTTTTTTCTTGCCCTCTTTCTCTCGCCTGCTCGCTTTCTCTCTGTCTTCCTCTCGCTTCTCGTAAGCCGCGAACAGCGCTCCACGTCTCCTTCATTTTCCCTCTATCTTTCTCGCACGTTGTATAACCCTGCGCTTTGTACGGCTTCCGCCTCACGTGTTAAATTATGCACGAGCTCTTTGACATTTGACAACCACTGTAGTTCCGGTAATTACAGCCCCATCCTCGCCGCCCGAATTCGTCCCTCTCGTCTCGCGCTTCTCTCCTTTCGAACCGGCGGCTCTCTTGCGCCCCTTGTCTTTGCGCTCTCGACGGACCTTCAAGCGTAATCCACGGTGGGCCAGAAGCCCTTCTTCGCCGCGAGTTCTTACGTCCCGTCGCGTCCGTTCGACTTCTCTCTCATTCTCCGTTGCGAAGCGGCAGATTCGCAAGTCATCCGTTCGGTTTTCGCTCTTCGGTTTTGCAAGAGCGAGTCTTGGAGGATCGACGAACATTCTCCTCCAATTGCTCTCGTATTCGTCTCTCTCTCGCTCTTTCTCTCTCTCTCTCCCCCTCTCTCCCTCCCTCTCTCTCTCTATCTCTCCGATCTCGTTGATTTTACATGGTCGCTAATTAATATCAGATATACATTCTCACAAAATATTAATGCGCTTACAATCCCAACGTTCGTGAACGTATAATCATGCACTGCTCGTGATTCACACGTGATTCATGAACGACAAACCTATGTCAAACTTGTGAAAGCATTTATAGATAGATAAATATTAGAGATGATAAAAATTACAAGCTACAGAAGAGCGAGTGTTTTTTGGGGTTAACGTTGAATGATTTACGTTCGCTCGGAGATCGATTGCAACCATGTCCTTGTTAAGTGGTGAATAGGCGGGATGGGATTGACAGAACTGACACGGTTATTTCCACGGTTAAAAATTTGCGAAAATCATTTACCACACGATACCATCTGTATCATATTACAAACTAATGACCCACTGACAACTTGCTAATAACGCCGCTGAATTTTCGAACAATCGTGTGCACGTAATAGTAAACGACGGAACGTAATAGTTTTGAAGTTCAGCTCAATGCCCACGGAACGTGATTTAAAGTTATTTTTCTTGCGAGGAGCCATTTATGCTAAGTTCGTTCTATAACGAGAAATTTAATTCTCAAGTTGCTCCGTTGTAACCTTGATGGTTAGTTTTTCTAGACAGATTCGGTGTTATTTTCCAAGCGCGTTGCTAAGATTCTAATACGGTTTGTCCAAACCAAATGTCAGTTAATCATATAATTGTATTATATTTGTTTTTACATTAATTATATAATTTTTACATTAATCATATAATTGTATTATATTTGACAGTTTGTATTGGAATCTTAGCGATACGTTTGGAAAATAACATCGAATCTATCTGGGTTGAAAAATAATACCGAATGTGTCTGGAAAATCATCAAATTTGCGAGAGAGCACGCCGATAATAAAATATCTCGCTACAGAACGAACTTAGCAGCATACATGACTCCTTGCAAGAAAAACAGTTTCAAATCATGCTCTGTAATCATTTAGATCCGGAAATGTTAAATGTACCAAACTCCTTAATATAATTTCGTCGTATTGAATATACTTCGAAAAGCATAAAAAATCCGCCATGAAGGCGTATTTCCCTTCGACCCTCTCTCGTCGATCCTCTCTTTCAGTTCCTCTGAAGTTCAGTATGCGTCTCGTCTGCTGCGAGTCGACTGGCGAGTGCAGCTTCGCGCGCGGCGGAAACTAATTCGAATTCCCGGGCGACGGATTCACTCTGTATCGTTCCGGCGAAGCACTTTCTTCCCGTCGCGCGTCCGCATCCCTCCGCCACCCTCGTTGATCGGGGCGCGCGCCGCTTGTGTCTACGACTTGACCCGTTGCCGTGAGAAATAAAGGAAACTCGCGCCGGGTTAACTCGAGTCTCAGGGGCTACGCAGATGGGGAAGGACGAGAGCGAACGACTGCGGTGGTGGCGGGGGTGCGAGAGACAGGCTGGTGTTGTGCAGAAGGAAGAAAATCGGGCGGCGATACTCTACCGCTCGCTCGCGCGCACGAGTTTCTAATTAAACTTAAACTTTTAATTGACTCGTTGTAAAGCAGTTTCTCGTAAGAGGCCTTCGCACGCGCCCACCCGTCCGCTCAGCCAGTTTTCCTCCACGCTGTGTGTCGGTCTTCTCTATATATCTTCCGACGCGTTTCCCTTGTCCTCGCCGTATTTTACGTGCCGCTCGTCCCCAAATTACGACGCGCGCGTGCAGTTCGCAGTCGACGACGAACCGCGAGAATGTTATTCGAGGGAGGTGGTCGTACGGTATCGCACCTGCGGGTAAATTGACGTCGCCATGCGTGCGGAGATAAACAAGCTCGGGGGAACGGGATATCAAGGGGGAGCAGAAATGGACGCGCACGGCGTGCATCGTCGATTATTTTGCCGTCATTTAGTTGTCATAACAATTATAATCCGCTGATGAGAGAGCAGCTTCTCTCTCTCCCTCTTTCCCTCTTTGCGCCACGCGAATTTGAAATCGAGAGCGAACGCGTGAGGTGAAATCGCGCCGATTAAATCGAGCGACGTGTATTTTGATAAGCAATCGATTCCTTGAATATAGATAAGACTCTTATCAGCCATCGGTACTTGTCCACAGGGTTGCGCATTCGCATCTGGGATCGTGTCGCAGCGGAGATCTTCTAATACGACGTTCACGAAGTAGTCGTCTAACGATCTAGAAGTACGAAACGAGCGGAACGATCGCCAGCAGGAATCGCCGCGAACGAATCGAGACTCCTCCAACACGTGTCTCTACTGTCCGCGCTGCTTTTGCGTCGTCGCTTTAAATCCACGTGTGATGAGTGTGTGCTTCTTTCTGTGCTGAGATCCCGAGTGATAGTCTGGGACCGGGACCCGGCGAACGCCGCAAGAGAAAACGAAAACAGAAAGAAAAGAAAGAGAAAGAGAAAAGTGTTTGTTGTTCGCGATTGTCGCGCGCGAAATCATACGCTTGAGAGGTGTGTCGCCTGCCTGTTCACGCACGTACGGTAGAGTTTGAGGGTTGACGCCTTCAAACCGCAATCGTACAATAATCCTGTCTTCCTCAAGGATAAACGAACTCGAGCGAAGGAGGCACCGACAACCGGTCGCCAAGCGGACTCCCATGAAAATGTTACAGTCGTTGAACGCTCTGGCGGGTAAAATCTCGCCAGGCTCGCCTACCGACAGCAACGCCAACAAGGTGCACATGCATAATAACAACAACAATAATAACAACAACGTGGTGCACCACCACCATCCGTACTCGAAGCAGCAGGTCCAACCGTCCCCATCGCACTCAGCCAACGGTGACCAGAAGGAAAACACGTGAGTGTTTTTGTTATCTTTACGTTGCAAAGCGGGACTTATCTTTAGAAAGAGCAAAACATTGTACATATATATAAAAAGAAGTCTCTTGTGTATTTTGTATTTTAAATTTATTGCGCCTCGCGCAATTTTCAGCACAAATTTTAGCGTACGGGAGAGATTTCTCGAAATATCGACGGTGCCATTTTGCGTGCCTCTCTTTCTTTCTCGCGTCGCGCCGAGTTACTTCATCGCTCTCGACCTTGGTCACATCGGGTTTTGCATTGTAAATTGTAACATGAAATTATTGATTTGCATTGTAAATAACGTTACGTTGTTATTAATACGCCATTATATATCGCTCGCGGGGAAAAGAGCACTTTCCCGGTGATTTCCAGCTCTTTCTCATGTACTTTCACGCCGCGAGCATGTCTGACAGCTGAAGGAATCATACAGTCGCGCGCGTGCACTCGTTGGCACTCCTGCATTTTCCTCGGGGAGCACCGCGTCCCTTTTTAGCAACGATAGACCGCGCTACTGTCACCCAAAACAGGTTGTTAATCGCGACGGCAAAATGCGACGCGATGTTTGCTCGCTCCCGCGCACGCCGCCGAATAATTACCCGGCTAACTTGAAAGTAGGTCGCCTATGTTGCGATTGCTCATTTCGCATCGCTAACAGAGACTACGCGGGTATTTCCGCATTATACTGGATGGTTAAATCTCGTAACCCATCGGCAATCCGTTAAAATGTTTTGTTTGCATGGCTCTTGTTTAACACACATCGTACGGAACTGCGTGTTGCCATTTCAGGGTTAATTAACATATTCAAGAGGTGGTAACATCGATCAGCGTTATCCGCGGCTAACGCGTCCGGGGGTGAGCTTTCTTACTGTATCTGTACCAATGGTAGGACGAGGCGGCGCTTTTGTGTCCGGTAATTGTTATACTTAGCGCATTGTGCCGCTTGACGGGCGGTGAAAGAGCTTCGCGTGTGTACTGATACATTCAACACCTCTCCGATCTGTATCGCGACCGAATGTGTTACGCAACCGTGAGTAATTGAGTATCTCTTCCGTTACAGCTCCGCTCAGAATCGTTTGAAATACGTTTTGCGCGCCGGTCGAATCGGCACGCTTCATTCGATTCACAACAACGCCCGCGGAAATACACGAATGGAAAAGCTCGAGTCGTCTGATAACCGATTAGGCTTTCGTTCGCGGACAAACGGAACGACTGGTACACGTCGAACAAAAGAGAGAAAGAGAGAGAATCCCTTCGCGTTCTCGTTGAAAAGATGTTCCGACGATTTCGATGCAATCATCAACTCGAAACTTCTATCTTTCTCTTGATCCTCTACAACAGGGAACGACCGGAAAATGCAATTTAACGCTTATCCGGTGCCGTTTGTGGTGTCGCTTCTTTTTTCCATAATTTCATTGTTCACGAAAGCTGGGAATGAGATACTTCCCAACATAATGGAAAAAACGTCCCGCGAGAGCACCCGATACAAGTAGCTGCTTTCGTAACGGGAAATCGAGCGGAAGGGCGGAGGAAGCATGATATTAGAGAGGCATAAGAAACGTTACGCTCTCGAAGACGCTCCTCCTTCCCTTCCTCCTCTTTCTCCTTCTCCTCGTCTAGTCGAGAATCCTTGAGATAACGTCTTGATTAAGAAAGATAAGATTTCTCGAAAATAAACGGAGCGCGGCGGATCCGGTTTCGCTAATTGCATCTCGTGTCGGCCGTTGAGTGCTCCGAAAAATGTGACCCACCCGCGCTTCATCGTGGATAACCCGTAACTTTTTCATGAGCACAGCTTTAAAAAGGCTGTTTGCGTCTACAAAGAGGCGAGCTCCTAGAACAAGAGCTCACGTTTCTACTCTATACCCCTTCTAATGGAAAAAGTATTTATGCGCGGAAAATGTCACGACGCTCTTCATCATCGTAAAGTCTTCCCTTTAGCGTACGCCGGTATTCTTTTAAGAATCATAAAAGAGAATGAGGGAGAGAGAGAGGGAGAAAGAGGAAAATGAAAGAATGAAAAACAAGAAGCAAGAGAGAGAGAGAGAGGGCTAGTTGGAGGAAGCGGCAGGAGAATTCGCAGAGAGAAGATTCTTTTCCGTCGTCGAAAGACGAGGAGGGGAGTGTTGCCCTGGCGGCAAAGGGCACTCTTCTTCATTATTTCGTTACGTTGCGCAAACGTGCCTCCATAGAATGGGAAGGGAGTGAAGGCCTAAAATAACTCGCCGGCATTCCTCAATGTGAGAGATAGAGTTAGATCTTCTCACTCGGTCTTCGGCGCGACATTGCGCGCCGTTCGTCTCCTCTTTCTCTCTCTCTCTCTCTCTCTCTCTCTCTCTCTCTCTCTCTGCTTCTCCTCCGATCTCGAGTCTTCTTCATCTACCCCCCGCAGAGTGGATGTCGCTGAAATATGTACCCGTCTCTCTTATGTAAAACGCGCGCGATTCGAAGGACGGCATTCCTCGTTCCAGAACTCTCCAGGTACGCCGTTACGCGAAATTTCCACGCGACGCAGTGCGCCCGAGCGATCTACGAAATTGCAAAATCTGCTTGTATAAACTGGGAAAGGCACGCCTCGTTTCGCTTTTTTTAATCGACTACTAGTTTATCTAGCGCTCGGTAAATAGTAAGTCATCGATTGGAAAAAGGTCCTTCGAGAGAAAGTCGTTCGCGTTCTTTGGAGACGCGTCGCGCGTTTCCAGGGAGAACATTTCAAAAATACTCGCTAACTTGCGTAATAAGTTTCCGCGGGTGTAAACGAGGAGTGAGGGACGCACAAATGGAACAATATGTTCACACAAAAATATCGTCCAATACCGATAAATATTTATTCACTTTTTGCCAAACGAGTAATGCATTTCAATAATTTGCACAAAAAGTCGAGAGAATTTCTATTTCGCGTCCTGTGTGTTAGAACGTTGCGAAAGAATAAACGCAATCTATTGAATCGCGCGTGCATAATAGGCGGCTGTGTGATGATAAATTTCTCTCTCTTTCCCTATCCGTTTTTTTATTTTTTTTATTTTTTTTAATATAATCATCTGACCCGCTGTGCTCCAATATATCTCGCGGAACAGCATAGTTAAATAGAAAGCGTAACATATTGTCGCGCGTAATACCGGTCGGAACAAATGATACGTCGATGTGCGCGTCGATGTTTATTTTAATTTTACGCGATGTAAATATGGGCCGCGATGCAGCCGCGCGACGCGCGTATAATTTATGGCATCGTCCGTGATATATTACCACAATGAGCAGTGTTTCATCGCGTCATATACTTTAATAAGCGACGTGCATTAACGACGGGATAAACAATTTCGCGGCGATAAGTGTATAATATGCGCGACGGATTTCCCTCTCTCCCCCGCTTCATTCCCAAATCGATCAAACAGCGAGAGTTTTAAATCGTTGCACGAGTTTGTGCGAGCGGACAAATTAACGGCGCCGCGGCCGGTTTCCTTAGCGATTCAGGCGACGGTTTAACGGTTCGAGTAAGAGGTTTAAGTGATATGTGCGACTCTGGGGAGGAATTCGTTTAACAGAAGGGTCGCCGTGGACCCTAAAGATCACGCGCCCGCGCGAGGGTTCCTTTATCTCCGACCCGGATGCCCCGCTGGCCCGTGGAAACACATAGAAATTAATTTCTGCTCGTCGACAGAAACGATTCCTATCTGCGCTCGCCTCGGAGGACGATTAGGATACCCGTTTGCTCGCAGTGAATTACGTAAATATTTGTTGCCTCCGAGGAGCGAGAATAGCGGTCCTACGTGCCGCATTTGTCGCATTATCGCGCCGTATCTAGAGACACCAACTGATAACGATTCTTATCAGAATTTATGCGGTCTCCCTCTCTCTCTTTCTCATTCACATTTTTTCTCTCTATCTATCTATCTATTTATCTATCTCTGTCTCTTTCCGTCTTTCGTCGGGAGAGAAGCAGATGTTCTCATTTCTCGGGTGATATCACGGTTATGTGTCTTTGCGCAACGTGTGATCTAAATTTAATAGTTCGCGACTCGCCGCTACTCTCCACTTGCCTTACATTTGGTTTTTGCACATCCGCGACATGCAACACGGAGCGGCGTGTGTCGGGCTTTCGCAACAAATGCATCGCTCTGCCGGCTTGTTAGCGGCGTGTTCATCGATCATATCTCCGAGCTGTCGTGTCGCCAATACGCATTTCTCCGCGTGCCATTAATCCGCGGAGTCGCGATACTTGCGGGCGCGGCGGCGACGTTGCGAGATTGGGAATTATATTATCCGACAGGAATTGGAGCTCTCTGCAAACAGCATTACCGCGCCATCCATCTTCCCATCGGCACCTCCGACGAACTTGGACGATAGATCATTTTTCTATCTTCGAGTTGTCGTATCCGGTCACGTATCCCTGGCCCATAGATCCTCGCGCGTATTCCCAGTTTCGCGCGCTCTGGATCGCCGTGTGCATCGCGCGTTCTCTCTCCGCCGGCTTCCATTCTCACTTGAGATCGCCGCGTCGTGCGCGCTTTCACGAAAATTAAATCCGAATCGATGAAGCGTCGAGAGTGTCCAAAGTCCGCGAGTCCTCTTTTCCGCGCTTTTACCTCCGCCGGCGACAGACACCGTCGTTGTCACTGTCCGGAGCAGAAACGGGGGGGAAACACTTAAAATCCGCGAAGCTGTAGCGGTGCAATCCCTTCGGAAGGATCGGGAAGATTTGCCGAAGCCACTGACGGAAATCAAGACGGTCGGACACGGAGAGAGTGAGCCCGCGGTTGTACCCATTGTCAGGCTTCGGCACTTCAACGTTTCTCGTGCCGGAGGAACGTTTTAGCGACATTTAACGATCGTCTATCGACGATAGGCGACGGAAAGATGAAGCAGATAATACACGTCGTAGCTTCCGTTTCGGTGAAACAAAATGACGAGCGTGTATCTTTTGTAACGGCGGCGCAAGAGAGCTCCGTGGACCTTTTAATTTATTTTATATAAATACGACGAGAAAAAGACAAAGAGGAA